TGGAGACCGTGGGGCTGGCGCTTGTGCTCAAAGCTTTGCCGTGTCTGTGCTGTTTCCTAGATAGCACCTCATTTTTAAAATATAATCCTTGTCATTTTTTAATATAATCCTTGTCAGCCTTGGGGTTTAGTGCCCAGCTTGGTGAGTTTTTGGGCTGGGTTGTCTGGAAGGAGCCAGGCAGAGTCTGCTCTCACTTCTCAACCAGAAGAGCCCCAGCTCTGGGCACCGTGGTGACAGCTGGAATTTTGAAGGTACTCACTTCATTGTGCTCTGTGTTTGCTTCTCTCTCCTTTCTCTTTTATTTCCTAATTCTTGAAAAATGCCATTTGTGTACTTCATTTCAGGAGCAAGTTCAATGTCATGTTGAAACCATGGGAATTTTGAAAGGCAAAAATATGTTTTGGTATGTTACTTATCCAGGGGCTTTGATTCAGGAGGCAAATTCTCTTGGAATGTTAAATGGAAAGTTCATTAATTTGGCAGTTTTTACTGTAATAGCAAACTGCCTTCCTAACTGCTGGGCTTTAGAGGTATGCTTGGGTGGATAAATTAAAATTATTATCAGTCTTTCTGTGAATTGATGGCACTTTGGAGGGAGGATTGCTCTTCCCTGTCCCTGTCCTGCTGAGCATGTATGTAGCTTGACATTGTAAATCCAAATTGGAGACCAGCAGCATCCTTCTGTTATTTGGAAAAAAGGTGTTTTTCTGTCTGGCAGAACTGAGTGTGGGGTTTGCTCCCTAACTTAAATACTCACTGAGTCCTGAGTAAATTTATTCTAGGGCTACTGTATAACTGTACTACACACGTGGCTTCAAAAAGAAACATGATGTTTCCAGTGTGTGACTTAGGTTCAGATTAGTTTGATAATATAGATCCAGCCTGATTTGAAATATCCTGTGGCTCTTCTTAGTGACAAGCAGGAGACTTGCTTGTGCAGGAGGCTTGGATTCTATCTTCTTATCCCTTCCTGATTAGAAAGTGATCCCACAAAGTGCTGTGTTCAGGGCAGAGCAGTTCTCCATTTGCTTTGATTTATTCCATCTCTCCTCTTTGGAGCTGCTGCAGCAGGTGGGATTGGATGCCTCAGTGATTTTTTGCACTCATAATAATACTCATAACAACTTAATAACAAACTTAATCCAATAGTTGAATGAAAACATTGACAGGCTCTGGGAGCTGCCAAGAGGTGCCCCAGAGAGAATGTGGGGTTTGGAGTTACCAGTGGAGTAGCAGAATCTGGGTGTGGGGGTTTAAAGGGTGGGAACTCCAGGCAAACAGATGCAGAGTTTGATTTAGAGCTGTTGTGACAAATGGGAGTGCAGATTGAAGTTGTAGTCAATGCTGCTTGGCCTTTCTCTGCTTCCCAGTCAGGAAAGATCTGGGAACAAAAAGGTCAAATGCATGCTTTGATTAGGCAACATTTTTCTACCAGGAGGGAGAGGGAGAATTGTATCCAGCTGACATATTCTATTCAATGATAGATCAGGAGGGGATTGCTTGGAGACATCTCTTGAAGGCTCCAGTTCAGTAGCATTTGGCTGCTCTCCCCTTTCTGTAGCTGTTCCCTGCTCTCCCTCACCCTTGGGGAACATCCCTCCTCTCCTCTCTTCTCCTGCCCTCTGTGCTGTTCTCCCTCCTGCCTCTGGTAGCCAGATTTTCCCTGGCTGCTGCACATCCATAGCTCCTTATCCCCTTGCTGCAGGTGCTGAGCTGGCATGAGGAGAGCTCAGGCTGGGATTTCAGCCATGCCTGCAGGAGGCACGGGCTCATTTCCTGGGCCAGGCAGCACATATGGCATCCCTGCTGCTGGCAGCTCGGAGCCCTGGTCCCGCGGGCTCAGCGCCTCCTGTCCATTGCAGCCCTTTGATGTCTTTCTTCCTCACACTTGGGGATGTTCCAGGCCCTTCAGAAAGATCCCTGTCAGCCAGAGGAGTTCTGGCTAAATGTGGCCAGCTGGTTGAATATGACATTCTTCGTGGTCCAGGGAGCCTAAAGTAATTCCAGTGATGCTGCAGGAGTGGAATGGTTCCATTATGGAGGTGGCATGGATTTGGGTGAACTATTAGGCTTGTGAGGGCATTTCCAAGAATCATGGGTGGCACCTTTTGAAAGCATTCCCGTTAATGTGGTGAGGTCAGTGCAAGTAGTATGCTGTCAATAAAAGGTCCTGTTTTGGAGCTCCTTCCTTCCCACCCCCATCCCTCTGCATCATTTGTTTTTAAAGGTCATGCTTAAGCACTGTACTTGGTGACTCCCGGATGAATATTTTGTCTGGGATATGGATTTGTGCTGTGTTTGGGGGCTCGTTAGTGGAAGCAGAGACAGGAGGAGAAAGGAAAAAGGCTGAAGGGGTTTTCTCGGCTGTGAGTTCGCACAGGATTCTGTGGGATATCTCGTGCCTCCTGCCAGGTCTGTGCTCTTTTTCATTTACTTTGGGGACTCTGGAGAGCTAAAGGCATCTCCTGGTTTTACAAATATTTTCTTTGTGGTGGTTGTGCGCTGGTTTTCTCCCCACCGTGGCAGAGCTAACTGGAGACACTTATTTGTCTTTCCCTCCTATGAAGCATAGGAGGGTCGGTCCCACTGTTGATAGTGCGGGGTGCCAGTGCTGGGATTGGGAAATCCTTTTTACAAGTTTAATAAAACCCAGTGACTTGGATTTGCTGTCTGGCAGTGCCTGCATTTGTGAGTGTAGAGCATGGGCAAAAGAAATGAAGAGGAAATCAAGTTGCAGTGTTGGTTTATCATACCGGGAATACAAGATGTGCAAAGGAGAAATATCCGGTGTGACAGTGTGCCTGCTATACCTTAAGTAAAGGTTAATCCATTTCAAGCCTGGCTTAATGCTGCTCTATCCTGATGTTCCAAAATTATCAGAAGGCAGGTTTTTACTCTGTTAGGTCATTTCTTGAAATAACTTAATCACAGATGCCGGTGTGTGGTCAGCTGTTGCTCTGTTTGATTTGCTCTTATCAGCTGATTTGTATTTATCTTTTCCCACCTATTGAGGGAAGAAGTGTAAAATTGTACAATAAACACAACAGGGAGAGCAGTGCTAAGTTCTCCTGGCTTTTGGAGACGTGTCCAGCATGGGGGATGTTTTTGTGTGAAGAACAGAACTGCCTAATTTTTAGTAAACACTGCTAGGAATTGACAGATCTCATCTTTCTTCAGTAGAAAGCTGAAGGGAATAAAAGATTGATTAAAAATAGAAATATTGGCATCACTTTGAAGCAGCTGTAGTGCTATTAAAACCTCTTTGTGCCTTTATGAAGAGATGTATTTTTATTCTCAGAATTCTGGTGTCTTGTGCGCTTCAAAATAAACAGCTAAAATAATACCCACATGATGCCATAAAACGCCTTTATTTGTGACACAGCAGCTGCATTTCTGGCAACAAATATCCTATTGTCACATCAGATCCCATGAAAAATCCACAGGAAAAAATCCCACCCTCTCAGAGTGCAGCAGGCAGAATCCAAACAAAGAGCCAGAAGCAGAGTTCAGGGATCCTCCTGCCCCAGTGTGGACGTGCAAGTTCTCTTCTGTATGAGCCCCTAATCAGTTCACCTTCAAAGCCATTAGGATCTGCTTAAATTAAGCCTAATTCAGGATTTGTCTTCTGCACAATCCTCTGGGGAAATGGAAGGATTAAATAAATAATAAAAAGGAAGCCAAGTGCCTGAAGGGAGCCCACAGGAAAGATGCAGAGACTCTTGACAAGGGCCTGCAGTGACAGGACAAGGGGGAATGGCCTCACACTGACAGAGAGCAGGGTTAGATTGGATATCAGGAAGTAATTTTTCCCTGTGAGGATGGTGAGGCCCTGGCACAGGGTGCCCAGAGAAACTGTGGCTGCCCCTGGATCCCTGGCAGTGTCCAAGCCCAGAAGGGGCTCTGAGTAAGCTGGAACAGTGGAAGGTGTCCCTGCCCATGGCAGGGGGGTGGAGAACAATGTGTTTGAGGTCACTTCCAACCCAGGCCATCCCATGGTTCTGTGTGCAGAAGACAGGTGATGTACACATGGTGCTGTGTACTTCTGTGTAATTTTCCAAAACTAACTTCCAAAACAACCTGACCGAATGGGAGTGGGGCTGAGATGCTGGTTTTCATGGTTTTCTTCCATGAAGCTCTCCTGAAGTGCCTCAGCTCACTTCCAGGTAGGACATGAATCTTAGGACAAACTGTGCTGGTTCTTTGAGTTTTTTAATCTCCCCTGGCTTTCCGGGATCAGCTGCAGGGCATTCAGAGCTTCCCTGAGGTGTCTTTTTCCAGCATTAAAAAGTGTTGTTCCAGTACATCCAAGTTCCTTGGGTTCAGGATAAAAGCTCTCAAGGAGTGCAGCCTTTCTTCTTTCTGCTTTCTTTCTTCTTTCTTCCCAGTTTTTAGGTGCCCAGTGGCCATGTGCCTTAAGCCATAAGTACCACCTGGCCACGTGTAACTTTGTGGAGCAGCTTTAAAATTCAAATATATTCAATGGTTATCTTTATCCTTGAAATAACTTCTCTGGACTGGGGTTAGGCTTTTTTTCCATTTGCTGTCTTATTTTATTCCACCCTATTTTTTTTTTAGCATCTAGAATTTTTGGAGTCTGAAATTGTCACAGAGCTGTGACAAGTCCAGCTCTGGGAGCTGCCTGATCCTTCTCTCTCCTACCCTTTTCCCTCCCCCAGGCAGGGCCCAGGTCTGCCAGAGGGACATTTTCCTTATTTGTGGACAAGCACAGCTGGGTCAGCTGCCCAGAGCATGCAGTACTATTTGCTATGATTCACTCTTTGTTTTGCCAACATGTTGTTATTTTTTAGAGTGGGTAGCACATCCTCCTGCTATCTTGGGATAATTTTATAAGGCAGCTTTTAATAGAGTTTCTTACATCTAAAGAACAGTGCCTTTACTGTGAATTCTGGAGTGCCTGAGAACTTGGAGAGTGGGGAAGAGGAATATATATTTTATTTTTCTTTTTGAAGTGAGTAATGATTTGACCTGCTCTGTTTCAGTACATGTTACCATGGCGATGACTGCAGGGACTACAACATCCTTTCCCATGAGTAACCACACCCGGGAGAGAGTGACGGTGGCCAAACTCACACTGGAGAACTTCTACAGCAACCTGATTATACAGCATGAGGAGAGGGAAACCAGGTACTGCCTCTGCTTCCCCTCACCCCTCTGCAACTTTTCTTGCTGTTTGTTCAAGGGTATTTCAGTCCCCGGGGATGGGACAGCTCTGGGAAGTTCTTCTGTATGTGGTGGCAGGGAGTGAATTCCTAGAGGGCACAGGCTGTCTTTGGGGGGATCTGTGAACATCCCTGGATCACTGTCACTGAGTGGCCAAGGAGCTCCACTTCTGATGTTTTTGTGCAATTCACCTCCTCATCAGCTATTTTGTGGAAACTGCTCTGTGCAGGGTGTTATTTTGCAGTAACATGTGAGGTTTCTCCTTTTGTGTGAGGTTGGGGACCTCTGATTCATCTGCAGGTGCCCCAGGGGGTGAACTCTGCAGAGCTGCTGAGGGACGGGAGCTTGGTTTGGGTAAGGCAGCTGCTTGTGGTGTCTGTTCATGCTCTGCACCATGGAGCTCATGCCAAGACTCCCAAACCCTGCAGGAGGGAGTGTGTAGGAGACAGGGAACAGGGCTGAGAGGTGTTTGATGGGATGATGGGGTAAGGAAAGGAAGCAAAGAGCTGGTGTGGAAATAAGTGGCAGCAAAGAAATCAGGGGTTGATGGTGGAGGGTTTGAGAGGCTCTCAGGTAGGCAGGAAGACTTTTGGGGATAATGTAATCCCAGTCTGTAAATTCTGCTTGGGTGGTGCTGCCTGGTACTCCTTGCATGGGAGTGTGGGATGGTCATCCCCACTCAGCTCCTCCCAGCAGTGCCCAGTCCTGTCTCTGAGGTGTGAAGTGCCACTTGAGTTAGGTGTCAAAGCACCAAGTGTTTGGCTTAATGAATCTTGTGTTGGATTGTCATTAGTGTGTGAAATTACCATTCCTCTGGTAATATGTTTTTAATTGAAGGGTTTTCAGTCAAGCAGCAGGGTTTCTCTCTTCATCATATTTAGTCATTATTCCATGTAATGGAGTTGCTTCTAGTTAGGAGAATAGACTGTCTATCAAGGGCCTGTAATTTAGAGGATCCTGCTGTACTTCCCAAAGTGCAGAGAGGCACCAGCAGCCTGGCTCCAAGCCTTTGAATTCTTGCCTGCTGCAGGGGGTAACCAGCCTACAGAAAGCTGCACCCTGGCAGTTGTAAAGGACCATCCTGTCGGTCCTGACAGAAAGGAAAGAAAGGAAAGGGACAGAAAGGGACCCTGCAGCCACATTGCCATGTGCTGACCCTCTGCCACCTGTGGGGTATTCCCTGGCTTTGCTCCCCTCTCAGAGCCTCCCAGCCTGGCATGGCACTGGGGGAAGGCTTGGAGCTGTGAGCCCTGGCCTGGGCAGGATGCTGGGGTGAGAGGATGGTGCATCCAGGGGGTAGAGTTTAGTTGGTATGGGAAGAAAGAGGGCAGGACCAGGGGGAGTCATCACACAGAGGGGATGGAAGCTGGAGCTGGCTGGCATGTGGGAGATGGAGCTGAGATAGAAATGGTGAAAAAACCAATTTTTATTCTGGTTTGTAATCCTAATTGATAAAAACAGCCTTAATTCAACAAGATAAAATCACTCTAATAACATACTTTTTCATATAGGTTTAATGCCTGATTCTGCAAGTACATAAGCATGTGCTTAAATTTGCTTCTACATTTTCCTCAGCTTTGTTCACAAATGAGTAACTGGGTGGAGTGGGGCTGTCTGCCTGTAAATTTCCATCTGAAGCAAATTCTTCTGTACTTGGAGTATGTGAAGCAAAGGTGTTGACTTGCTGTGGTTTTATGTTTGGCTTTAATAAATAATAAAAGGTGCAATCCCCTGTTTTTCTCCTTGGCAGGCAGAAGAAGCTGGAAGTGGCTATGGAAGAGGAAGGCCTTGCAGATGAGGAGGTAAATGCTGCTTAAGTAACCTCACAAACTGCTTTGCTTTTGTCCCACTGCTTCAGATGGGCATTTGAAGAGCTCACAGAAGCATCAGCCAGCATGACAGAAGGTTTTATTTTGCACATGAGTTTTGCCCCTTTAATAACCTGTTTATGATAGGGAAGCTGGGACTATGCTTGACTGATACTTGCAATAGCTATCCAAGGCTTTTCATGCTACCTGCAGTTCTTATGAGACATGGCCACAGCAAGTAGCTAGCAAGCTTTGCAAAGATTAAAATTGTTTGCTGCTATATTTGGCAAGAAAAAAAAAAGTGGTTAGAAGTGGGTAGTAAGCAAAATGCTGAACCATTTTTTCTTGATTTGAACAATAAACCATCACACCTTTGCTCCTTTTGGATACAGATGAGGAGGGATCTCAATCTGGTTGCCACCTCTGAGAACTTTGGTCAATGAGTTGCTTTTCTGAGGTCCATTACTCCATGTCTGCCTTCAGGATAGGTTGGGAAATAAGCAGGAAGTGTGTCAGTCCTGGAGTTTTTGTGGCTGCTGTAACCCCTGAGAAGTGGGAATATGAGTGTGGGTGTGTATTGCCATCTTGTGGCTTTAAAGGATGCTGTAATCCCAGCACAGTCTGGCAGGTGCCTGATCCAGGGGACCTCCTTAGCAGACTCTGAGCTCTCAGCATTTTTGGGTGCAGCATTTGTCTTCTCTTGGGGTGAATCCCAGTGATATTTTCATCAGACAAAATAGATTATGGCATTTAGACAGATTTTTCTTTCAGAATTGAGTGCTTGCCTGCCATAAACCAAGTGGATTTTGTTGTAGATCTGTAACCAAGGCCTTGCTAAGCTCCTTGTTGCCTGTCATCACTTGGGATACAAGTTTCAGCTTTTATTGGTCCTTCACACCGCCAAAAAATAGTCCTTGCCTCAGGCAGTGACTTTGGCCTTGGGACTGATACACTTTGTTTGGACCAGTATGATAGTTCTTCTTCATAAATTTTCTTTTTTTTTTTTTAATAACTAAGTAATAAAATTAAAGCACCACCAAGTAATAAAATTAGAACACCACCACCCACCAACCAAAAAAAGGTGGGAAACTGTGCCTGAGACTTCCACAGAAAAGACCATTCTCAAGGACTATACTTTGAGAAATTCAGAAAGAAGTGTAGAAGGAGAAGTTTTTCTCCTGTTGGGATTCCAGAGAACAGCTTCCCAGGAAGGGAGGGTGCACATCTTGACTCTCTGTTGCCAGCTGACTGACAGGTTGCTGTGCTTGTCCTCAGAAAAAGCTGCGCCGGTCACAGCACGCTCGCAAGGAAACCGAGTTCCTGCGGCTCAAGAGGACCAGGCTCGGCTTGGATGACTTTGAGTCTTTGAAAGTCATAGGAAGAGGAGCATTTGGGGAGGTTTGTGGCATTCTTGCTTGAACAGGAGATTAAATGGGATTGACCACTGTAATGAAACATTCTAATTAAAATTTGATGAATTGTTTTATTGCAGAATGGCAGCGATTTTTGTCATTCTTGAAGTGTGAGAATTCTGGTGATTAATCACATGCATTGATTTCCCAAGGCATCTGGAAAGACACTTAGTTTCCCTTGGCTTCCCACACTGATGTTGCCCTCATGGCCCTCTGCAATTATGGATTTGCAATGGCATAGCCCCTCTTGATAAACCTCCTTTCTGCCCTGTGTCACATCAGTTATTTCTCCTGAATTTTAACCTACACAGTTTAAGTTACTTGGAATTCACTGTGCCTGCTGACTTTTCCTAAAACAAAAACTGTTCCTCATTAGTGTTAGTGTTGTACATGGTGCAGAATAATTCCCTTTTCAGTATTTAACACATTTAAATGTGTTTTTAAGTATTTAACAAGAGAACTTTTCCATGGCTGTCAGTTGGGAGCCTTCCAGTGGATTTCTGAGGCAGAGGAGACTGACTGGGCTCTCTCTCTTGGTAAAGGTCCGCCTCGTTCAGAAGAAGGATACAGGTCACATTTATGCAATGAAGATACTGAGAAAAGCAGATATGCTGGAGAAAGAGCAGGTTTGTCATCTCTAAGTCCCCTAAATTTCAAACTTACCCTTTCCAGAAAATCTTTTCCACCTTTGAAAGCCCCTACAATGGTCTGGCAGTCTGAAGAATCTGTGCTGTTGCTACCACAGCACAAAAGCAGCAGAGGTTAGGAAATGAGGTCATGCAACTACATTTAAAAATTACTGATTTGGAACAGTCACAAAGATTTTATTTTTCTCCCCTTATCAAGGGGAGAAAAATAAAATCTTTGTGAATGCATTTCAAGGAAAATATTTCTGGAAAAACTTTACTGCATTTCAAGGAAAATATTTCTGGAAAAATAATCCTGTGCCAAATTAAAAACTGAGGTATTTGATGTTTTTTTTAAAGAAAACCAGCAGAAATCACATTGTTCATCAACATTGTCTTCTTTGGGTTTGCTTTATAGTTGGGTTAATCTTGTTGGGGGTTTGTTTGTTTTGATTTTGTTAGTTTGGTTGGTTTTTACTTTTTAGCTAACAATACACTGTGAGGACACATCAAATACTTTAGCACCACAAAGCAAAGAAATGAAGGGTGGGTAACTCGGGAGATAAGAGGGCTTTTGTCATACTAGTCCAAACCTTACTCATCATTGGCACATCATTTCCCTGCAGCAGTGGTACTTTTTTTTTCCTGGCACAGATTTTCTCTCTTGCAGCCCATGCCCTGAATTTAGGCAACAAGAGGAGCAGCAGGGTGTGCAGAGAGTCAGGATTTGTGTGGTGCTGCCCCCATTTCAGAACCTGATGTGGGAAGGAGTCTGAGCTCATGTTCTACATTCAGTTTGAGACAGTGATCTTCCCTGGCCAGTGTTTATCTGCTGGAATTTTCATTGCCTGCATTGTTCTGTGGAGAAATAACAGAGGACACATGTAAAAAAAGGAAATCTTCTAGTATTTTTTCCCCTGAGTCTGGTAGCACTGGGAGAAATCCTGGCTATTTTTAGGCAAAGTTTTCCTGTTGTATTTTAGAGCTGCATTGAGGAGTTGAGGGTGGAAAAAAGTACTTTCTAATGAGACTAAATAAAGGCAGATAAATCCAGGCTGGAGTGTCTCCTGCAGAGGGAGAACCTTGCCCCATGCAACCCTGTGACCAGATTCATGTGAAGATGTTCCTCAGCAGCAGAACTGGAGAACAGATGCAGGAGACTGTTTGCTGCTTTTCTTACAGCTGTCAAGAAATGTTTTTCCATGCAAATGTCTTGAATCTTTCCTCCAAGATGAGGGTATGTTGTAGTGAAAACACACACCCCTCCTCCAATCTCCATTATTCTTAATTTCCATCAAATTATGGGGTAGCAGCTTTCCCTGTGTTTTCCGAAACCTTAGCTGGAACTGGAATACCCTGAGCAAGGTCAGATATTCCTCAAATTGTACTTTTTCCACCAGCTTTTTCAGTTCTTTCTAACAAACAGAACCAGTTTAACAAGCTGTGCTTTGTGTTTCTAGAGAAACCCTAGGATCTTGTAAAAAATAATGGAAAATATGAGTATGGAAAGAGCTAGAAAAATAGTTCCTTTGCTAAAGGTCATGAAAATGTGCTGTAGGGCTAGGAATGTAATGTGGTGTTCCTTGTTGAAATATTTCAATATTTGCCTAATAATAATAATTTTTTTCAAATTTTAGGTGGCCCATATCAGAGCAGAAAGGGATATTTTGGTTGAAGCAGATGGAGCCTGGGTAGTGAAAATGTTTTACAGCTTTCAGGATAAAAGGAACCTTTACCTGATCATGGAGTTTTTACCTGGAGGTAAGCTGGGTGCTGTGGCATCAGGTGATACAGGTACTTCTTCCTTAGCTTTTGTTGGCAGCTTTATAAAATATTAGGAACAAACATGCTGTATAATTTGTGAAAGTAAAAATGTTAGCACTCTTTTAAATGACGTTTAAGTCATGTGACCATTCCTGATTTTTAGGGGAAGGAAAAAGGTTGAAGGGCTATTAAATAGACTTGAATTAAATAATTATTTTAATAGAAATTTCTTTTTTTTACAATTGAGGATATTAACAGTAAAAACAAACCAGAAGAAAAGCCCTTGTTCAAACAGTTTGTGCAATAAATTTAACATGTGTAAAAATCCACTGTATTTTCTTGGGCTGTTCCATTAAAATTCCTGTTTAGGATTTTCAGCTAAAAAAGTAAGTTGGGTTTGTAGGTCCTTGCAGTAATAGTTTTATGATTAGTAACTGTAAGGCCAGTTACAAGGTTAAATTTGGATTCTACCGGGGTTTCTTACAGTTTTGTGATTTAAAATGTTCTGATCCTTAAGCTGTGTTTTCTTCTCTTTGATGAGGTGACATGATGACCTTACTGATGAAGAAGGACACACTGTCAGAGGAGGAGACCCAGTTTTACATTTCTGAGACAGTGTTGGCCATCGATGCCATTCACCAGCTGGGATTTATCCACAGGGACATCAAGCCAGACAATCTCCTGCTGGATGCCAAGGCATGTACTGGTGCTTCCAGGATCCCAGGCTGCACATCACTGGGAGCCACTGGTGCCACCCCAGGGATTTCAGCTGGCTGGAGGGAAGGCTGGGAATGCCCAATGTGTTTTCTCTGGAGAACACCAGTATGTTTAAACAAAGCCAAATCTTACTCAGAAGCCTTTGAACCATTTTAAGGCAAGGCTTTTAAGGAAAAAACCCACTCAGCATGGCCAGATGCTGATATTCACACACATTAAAAGGTGCAGCATTCCTTTCATGCATCTTGAAGTAGCTGTGGACAATTCAGACAATGCTAGATGTTCAGTTCCTACAGTTACATTTATTTCATCACCCACTCAGCTGTGGAAACTCCCTCAGTTAGACTGACCATTCTGGCCATGAAATGCACCCTGTCAGCATCACCAGATCATGGAATTATCTAGGTTGGAAAAGATCTTTAAGATGATGGAGGCCAGGCATTACCCCAGCATGCACAGGTCTGTCAGGTTTGATGGGCTCTATCAGCACTGATGTCTGGGAATCTGATTAAAGCCAAGGTTACTATCAAAACAAAGCAAAGGAATTTTGTCCTGGAGGCTTGCTCAGTCACAGTGGTATCCAGTTCAAAACAAAACCAGGCAAAGTAGCTGCCCTCAACTGTTGGGAAATTGTAGATTTGACCATTCCTGGGAGGCCATAGCCTGTTGGAGAGAAAACAGACCCTTCCAGTATACCAAGGTTCAGTCTTTGCTTCTCTGCTTGTCCTGTGCCAGTCCATCATGGCCTGAGAGGGCATGTGCAGTGATTAAAACTCTTTTTTCCCCCCAAACACTACCTATATAAATAATGGTTTTGTATTCTCTGATTATGTGTTTTCAGGGTCATGTAAAGCTGTCTGATTTTGGGCTCTGCACAGGTTTAAAGAAAGCTCACAGAACAGAGTTCTACCGGAACCTCACACACAACCCACCAAGTGACTTCTGTGAGTATGAGCTGTCCTAGTTGAACATGTAAATGGTTTTGAGCTGCAGCTGTACATTGTACCTGTGTTTCTGCTGGGATAAGCAAGATGGAGCAGGCTGATTGCATTTAATTGGAAGACTGGAAATGCTTGTTCCCTGGGTCATGGGAGCATTTCACAGGCAAGAAATGATGATTTCTGCAGTGGTCATGTATTTTTGCACATTCATACACAGATATGAATACACATAATGTATTGTATCTATATTGTTATGTATTTTTCATTATGTTAGTGAAGTTACAGAACTGCTCTTTCAGGAAGGACATGGGTTCCATGTGCCAAAGGACTGCAGTCAGTGACAGTCTCATGAAACTTTTCAGAAGCTGATCTAAAAGTTTGAACAAGTTCTAATTTAGAATTGCTGATGTGTGTCCTACTTACATGAATTTCAGCGGTGCATTGGACAGTAGTTATTCTCATGTTCCCATTTTCAGTTATAATCAAGCATTTGTTTCTGGACTAGGGTTCTAAATATCCAAGACAGTTACTTAAAACTGGAGCCCTATAAATCTTTCTTCTCTTAATTCTCACAAATACACTTGTTATTTAATAACTACTTTGCAAATTAGCATTTCAGAATATGAACTCAAAGAGGAAAGCAGAAACATGGAAGAAGAACAGGCGACAGCTGGTGAGTTAATTAATGTATAATTCTTGGTTTGCTTTTAAACTAGTTAGAGGAAGTGTTAAATTAAAACTCAGTGCTAATGCTCCTGGTTTTTACAACCTGCAAGATCCTCATATGTGGCTCTCTACAAGCTCCCAAAGTAACAAATAAGTCAAAAGAAGGGGATCCAGGTTGGAAATAGCAAGGCCTTGCTCCTCTCTGTGCCTTTGTTTGCCTTGTGAGCATCTGGCCCAAGCCCTCAGGTGTCCTCAGCCCCGTGGCCAAGCTGTGTCTCGGGCTCTCTGCAGCACTGGCCTGCTGTGGATCCATGGCTCTGATTCCTGTAGCTCTGTCATAAGCAGATGTGTGGCTGCAGAATTCCTTTCCAGAGAGCTCTGGGGAATTCCCATTCTGCTGAAAGGGAATGTGGTGGAAAGGCTGTGGGAGGGTGTTGGTGCTGGAGTGCTCCAGCCTGGGTTTGTGGTGAGGAGTGGTCAGTAATGGGGGAGCTTGTGGCATAAACTGAACCAAAGCAAAGTGTCTATCAGCCATTCAGACTTCCATCCCTGCCCATGATTTTCACCAAAAAAACCCCAACTCTCAAATTTTGGGACCATTTATTTTTCCACACCCTTTTAAAAAAAAGTGATCTACTGCAGTATTCCCTAAAAGCTTTTGGGTGCTCTCTTCTTTCCTCATGAGGCAAAATGAGATTACATTGCAGCCACCATGCTGCCTCATGGGGCTGTATTTCACAGCCTTATTCCAGCCTGGAATTAGATCCCTGAAAAGAATTTATCTCAAGTCCAGTAAAGGCTGATGTGGCAGAACTGTGTAGTGAGGAACAGTCCCACAGAGACAATAAAAAGGACAAAATGACAACTTGCATCAACACTGTTGGGAAAGGAGCCACGTTTTCAGTTTTCCATTGGTTCAATCCTAAATATCTCAGGTCTGTTCAATTAAACAAAGGGTTTCTTTATGGTCAGACAAATCAATGTAAAATATTTTGCTTTTGGGGGACTTTTTTGTTCTTTAAGTTTGTTGGTTTTGGGTTTTTTTGTGTTTTTTGTTGGATTTTGGTTTTATTCTCTCCCTCCTGCCTCATGGAGGACTTTTTATCAGTAAAGAGAAATTCTCAATACATGACTTGTGTATCATGAGTGCGACACTTGGGAACCTACCAAATTATGCCTTTAAAAATAGACAAAGACCACAACAATAGAACTTCTTGGGTATTTTTATAATGCAGCTACCTGAAACTTAAGCTAAGATGACCTTCTGATATTGCAGTTGCAATATTCTATGATTTCATCTCATTAAAGAGGATAATTTCCATTTACTTTTGAGGTTCTCTGTGTTTATTAATAAAAAAGAATAATATTCTTGGGACTTGAGTTCCTGTGAATTCTCAAATTAAGCGTTTTGTTCACCCAAAGAACAAGATCCTGTATGTAAATCCCCAGGAAAAAGAATTGCAAAGTGTAAAACCACAATATTTCTCTTTTGAAGAGATGATTCCTTTTTTCCAGGCATATTCTACTGTGGGAACCCCAGACTATATTGCTCCAGAAGTGTTTATGCAGACTGGCTACAACAAGCTGTGTGACTGGTGGTCCTTGGGAGTGATTATGTATGAAATGCTAATAGGTATGTTAAAAACCCCAACTTGAGAGTTGTTCAAAGGTAACAGGGTCCATTTGTCCAGAAGAGAAAACCTCTGGCTAATACTTGTTATATTTGGGAGCCCCAGTGACAAAAGCAGAGGCCCAGGTCACTGCTCTCCTGGAAAAAGTTTAATAATTTTTATTTGTTTGTGCAGGGTATCCACCTTTCTGCTCAGAAACGCCACAAGAGACTTACAGGAAAGTTATGAACTGGAAAGAAACATTGGTATTTCCTCCAGAGGTGCCCATTTCAGAGAAAGCAAAGGATTTAATTCTAAGGTCAGTAAGAAAAACCCAATTCTGGCCTCTTGCCCAGCCAGGGTCATCTTCCATCAGGGTAAATTCCTGTTGTGTGTAAAGGAAGCTTTATGCTGGTTTCTTCTGTCACCATCCCTGATGGATTTTTTAAGTCTTTTTCTCTTTGCCACTTGTTTAACATGAAGGAATAAGCTGGAATGATCTTGATTTGTCCCATGGTATCAGGAGAAACAGAGCAGACCAAAAGTAAAGTGATGAACACAGAATTTTTTTCTTCTCTGAGGTAGCAAGAAAATAACTACTCATCAGCATTTAATGCACTGAATAGAAATCTTGGGATGTTTTGGATTTACTCACTTCTTTCAAAATCCCAGTTTTTAGTTTGCATTGAGGTTTTTGTGAAGGTTTTGGTGACAAGGTCAGGCAGAAAGGACCCTCTTGTAGAATTTTACAGAAATTACCTCATTTAACAGAAATGACCCTCTTGTCCTTGGGAGGTTTTGAGGGGCACATTGTTTTTGGGTTTGATACTTACTCCTTTTTTTCCTTTTCAAAGCTAATGCTATAGCCTTATATGATTTTGTTACAGGCAAAAAGGGGAATGTACTTGACAAAACTAGAATTTATAATTAGTTCCAGCAGTGCTCCAGTAACCTACAAAAACATGACAAATACAAGAAACAGTTATCCTGCATCCAGCTAGTGATACTAACAGCTCAAATAATTTAATTGTCACTAATCCTCATGAATAAGTCTGGTCAAACAGTTAATATTGCATTTTCAGTATCTGTTTCTCTGCTGTTCTGCTCAACCTTCCTTGTCAACATCCCAAGTTCTCTGTGGACAGAGTAGAGCATTACTGCTGAGGATTTCTTCCTCCTCAATCCTGGCTGTGTTTGGGGAATTTTTAGAGATTTCAGTGTATTTGTTAGCATGTCTTGCTCGTGCATCTACTTACACAATAACTACTTTAATTTATCAGTTTGGCTCCACAAGGAGGAGGGTTAAAATTGGGGTAGAACTACTTAGTTATAGGTAATCTATTAAAATGAGGTCAAAACAGGTTGGACAGCAACCACCTGGGCATTTTGGGTACTTTGTCCATTACACTTGGACAAGTTAGGCAACGTGTGTTCTAGCTTAAAGGGAGATGCAGATAAAGCTAAAGGGTTGTGGATAGAGATAAATCCAAACGAAAACAAGCTCAAGTTCAGACAATGCCTGACAAATCCTGTGGCTGAGTGTTGTTACATGTTTGAGGTCTGTTGTTAGTCCTTGGCACCACCCAGCCTGCTGGGCTGCAATACAAATACAGGGAGGTTTTCTTCCCCACTGACACCCAACAACAGGAAAAAGAACTTTAATTTATAGCTGGATACAGTTTGTAGCTAGCATATGTAGCCTGCTGTGCTACATATGCAAAAAATGGAGATAATGGCTGGGATTTAATGAATTCCTAGGCAAATGCTGGTGTTCCCATCTCCTGGATGAGATACTTGAAAGGCTTTTCCAGTCCAGTGGAGAAGAGTCAGCCTCTGCTGCTCCCTGGAACAAATCCCTGAGGTCACTGAGTTGCTGTCAGAGAGCTTCCACCTCCCTATTTTCCTTTGGGATTTTAGGCTTTTCCTTCTGGCCTGCTGGAGCAGGTAACAGTCCCCATCCCACCAATCCTCTGTCTCCAATTTCACCTTTTTCTTCCTGCTTTTTCATGGCTACTTCTGATAAACTGACAATTTCTTGTGGGGTCTGAGCTGAGGTTATGCAACAGGGCAGTATCAGAAACAGGCCTTGGGTCTTTGTACCACCTGCAGCTCTGAGGGAAGGGGGAGAACAGGGACATGGCGTGCTTGGAATGTGCTGGCTCACTGGGATTCCAAAATACAACATGAGAGAGCAGTCCTGATTTACTAAGTATATTTATTCTTCTTAGTTTGACTTTGAAACAGGGATGTTTAAATAGTTGAGAACATGCCAGGGCAGTTCTCAGTAGAAGGGATTTGAGCCTCCATTCCAAACTGATCCTACAGGACCAGAACATGCAGCAGCTTTTCACAAACCTGGAAGATGGGGATGCAGTAGTTAAGAAAAGGTATCAGTCACTGGCATCATAGCTTTTTGTTGCAGGATTTAACAATGTTCTGCTTCTACTGTTTGCCTTCTCTCCTAGATGCAATGGGTTGCTTTGATGTTAACCCAACTGGTGAAACAATTTGACAGAACTTCTTCAAATTCTTGATACTGGATACTGTTGCTTCTGTGGAATTTATTGTAACATTCCCTTTGTTTTTTCCCCTTTTCCAGATTTTGTATCGACTCAGAAAACAGAATTGGTAGCAATGGAGTAGAGGAAATAAAAAGTCATCCATTTTTTGAAGGAGTAGACTGGGGACATATCAGGTATGTATATACACACATGTTTTACAGGGAGAATTAAAGCCATGAAAGCAAGAATTTCATGTATTGTGATGTCAAGGACAATTATTTCTGATTTATTTTGAAAGGCAGCTACTGGCAGTAGTGGGTTGACACTGAAGGTTTTCTGGCCTTGCTGACATGCACAGAAATGGCCAGAGTTTAACTGACTTGAGATACCTCAGATTATTCCAGACTGCCCAGAACAGAAAGAAATTGTTGTGGAGTGGCTGTGGAGTTCATTGTAAGTGTAGTAATTAGACCTGTGGTGAGTTTACAGGTGTAAACCACTGCCTTTCCCACAGTGCTGTGTCCCAGTGTGAGCATTTTGCTGGCACAGATTCCTTGGGCACTTTCAAAAGCCACCTTAAAACTCCTTCAAGGGCTTCCTGGCTCTGGAGGTGCTAAAGCAGAGGCAGCCTGCTTTGGGAGAGAGATGCTGAGTGTCACAAAGAGGAGTCACAGTCCAAAGGTTTTGGATGAGGTCCAGGCTGGTGAGCACTGGAATTGTAAAGCTCTGGGTGCAAGTGCAATCCTGCTGGGCTGGGTTTGTGAAACAGGGTAACCACACTGGTGGCAGGTGACAAGATCAGGGTGATAGCTGTGTGGCAGATAAGTGTGGGATGCTCTCTCAATGGGAAAATGATGTTTGCCCCAAGCCTGCCAGGAAGACACCAGTGGAGATAAGGAACCAAACAATCTCCCCATGGTGTCAGCAAACAGGAGAGTCAGATTCATCTGTGATGCACTCAGTGGAACCCTTGGGCTCTGCATTAAGGGAAGCTATAAGTGTAAAAGCTAAGTTAAAACTGGAACTTAATGTCTCATTTCCCAACATTCACTCCTCTGGCATTGATCTTTATTTGCAGGGAAAGACCAGCTGCAATCCCTATAGAAATCAAAAGTATTGATGATACTTCCAACTTTGATGAATTTCCTGAATCAGACATTTTACAGCCAGGTGAGACTGCCATTGTAAATTCCAAATCTCCATCCATGCCAGAACACTGCACAGCTGCCTTTGTTGTTGTTTGTGTTAATTTTACTAATGACCCAATCAAGTTAGTCTGTAGATCAAGTCTCTATATTTTCTTTGTAATATGAGTGTAAACCTGTGATCTTTCATAGCTGCAAAGCCCAGAGATTTTCAGAGTCCAAACTCTTGGTAAAAATGGTTTTCAGAGGTAGTGAGCACAGAAAGCAGTGGAGTTTTCTGCCTGGCAGTCTGTCTAACCAGATTCTGGTAAAACATCATGCACTGATTTGCTTTTCATCTTCAGTGACTTTTGAGGTTTGTGCCCAACATAATTGTTGGGATATTTGTGGGTCAGAATTTTCAGACAGTTGATTACTTAATGCAGTATTTAATGAACCTGAGTTGCTCTGTAAATCACTTCAGGGTTTTTTTTAGTTGTTGATTTCTCTTGGCAAGTTACAGGAAATTTTCATATGTAAAAGACTTGGTTCTGTGAAATACAAATAGTCCCAGGTCCCACTGTTTTCAGTTGCTTGGAGATTGGCAGATGATTAATTGCTGTCTGCTAAGTGTAGCTGTGTTAACAACCATAAGAATTATTCAAAAGCTGTTGTTTTGTTGTTTTTTTTTTTTCTGAAGTGGCTTTTATTTAATGGTGAGGAAGTTTGTCCTTTCAATGCAAAGCAACCCATCCCCAGTGCCTAAGCTGGTTATGTCCATATTTGGGTAGTTCCAAGAACATTTGTATTATTTTGGTATTTCAGACCCACTGAAAATGGTACTGTACGTGTAGGTACCTAAAAATCAGAACATCAGAAATGTCATGAGGTTTGTAATTGTGTATCCTGTGGGTGTGTTAGAGTCTTCTGTCAAGGTATGGAAACCTGGTGGAGTGTGTACACATAATTAAAAGAAAAAATAAAAAAGGCAAAACGAAAACCTCTCTTTTTCTGCTTCTGAGTTCTATGTTGAAATTATAACTCAGACCATTGACAAAAGGCAACTGACCTGATTAGAAGCAGGAATTCTTCCAGGAGTTTCTGCTGACTAAGGAAATAAGAGTTCAGGACTGTTTAGCTCTGTGAAAAGTCCTCTAAGAAGCAGCCTGGGTTTAACTCTTCTAATGTGTGTTTGCTTTTGTTTCTAAATTCTAGTGCCAAACACGACGGAACCCGACTACAAATCCAAAGACTGGGTTTTCCTCAATTACACCTACAAGAGGTTTGAAGGGCTCACCCAGCGTGGCTCCATCCCTTCCTACATGAAAGCTGGGAAGTTGTGAAACAGAACACAACCCCCCCAAAGGAAATTGCAAACACAAACCTCAGGTAGCTGCATCACCAGGCCCGCTTGGCGTTAGTTATCAACACATCGACTCTGGTGCGCATCGATTTCACATGGAAATTCTACAGGATTAGGATTTCTAAGACTACTACAGGAATTAGTTGGCAGTGCCAGCTGGCTTTTTTTTTTTTTTTTTTTTTTTTTGGTCCTTTTTTTTTTTTTAATATTTGAATATTTTTGTTAACTTTATTATACAAAGGTACTGGAATAAAAGGAACGTGCATCGCTTTTCCTGCACTGCCTACGTGTGGATAACGGTTAATTATGCCTCTCTGTACTGTGGCTTTGTTTGTACTGTAAACCATCTAATCCACCCAGGAGGGAAACATATCATTTGATGCAGCATTGGTGTTGTACTGCTCAGCTGGTGGGGTTTAGATATGCAGTATAAAGAAAACTGTCCACATTTGCAAACCTCTCTGAGCAATTGCTCAGGGGTGTTCCATTTGTGGGCTGCAGATCCCCCATGAGTGTAGCACATGGAATTATTTTAAATAGCAGTGTCCTCTCGGCCTCCTTGTGTCCTGTGTGCCCTCTCTTGCCCCGAGTGCAGGACCTTATCAGCCCTTTATCATCATCCCTTTTGTTCCTTTTCCCACAGTGTGTGGCAGTGAGGCAGTCCCTGTGATCTGTTTAGTGGTATTTCTGCTTTAAATGATGGTTGGCAGTATTGCTGTTAGAGGTGACGATGCCTGCTGGCAATTTCAGAAGCAAAAAGGAATCTGAATAAAAAGGTATCAATATTTTTAGCAGAAGGGAAACACTCTGATAGGAAGTTTTGAGGGGATGGTAGAGTTTCCAAGACTGCATTCCTGCCTCTGCTCTAAAGCAGATCATCTTTGAGCTGCTCATAATTCAAACATTCTCTTCCCTCTGTGAAAAATGTGTTCTAGAGAAGTGATCAGATTGGTGCTTTTTCTTTTTTTTTCCTCCCTGAGCAGCTGCAGGGAGAAGGGATCCTGTTTTAACCTCTCCTGAATCGCAGCCTCTGCTCACATAGAGGAAACTGAGTGTCCCATTAGGTTCAGATTCTCCAGTGGGTTCCTTTTCTCCCAGGATCTCCACTTGGCGTGGCCATGGGATTAGAAGGGATCAGCTGAGTCTGCAGCCCAATTTCCAGGGACCACCTAATTGTTCTTGTGGCCAGTCTGCAGGATGGTGACACCCTGACAGCCAAACCACGTGTCCTTTCCCTGGGCAGAGGAAACAGAAGCAGAAATACCTCCATGTGCAGGCTCTGTTTTGTTCATCTGCCCAGCAGCAGCTCAGGACTGAGTTGTACTCCCAGAGCAGTTTGCAATTATCTGGTCGCTGGTGACTTTCTCTGCCTGTACTTACAGCTTATCTGCAGGGCTTTGAATCTGTCACAGTACAGCAGAGATCTCTGCTGTCATTTTCTGGTCAAATGAGATGTGCAGCACTGAACAATTCCCCAGTGGCTGAACAAGCACAGTCACTGTTGCTGTCTCCCTCCTCTGAACACCAGTGAAAGGCACCCTACAACCTCTGCAGCCCCTTCTGAGTGGAGCACAGGATGTTTTGGCATACAGCAGGAAAGATTCCACTGGACAGACTTTTGTAGCAATATGGAAACTACTGTTATAAAGCCATTAGAGAAATATTTATTGCTGTTAGGCACTGTGGTATCAGCTGTTCTGAATTATTTGTATGCTCTGAAAAACATACTGGCATGTTGATCTGTTGCATAAGAGCCCATTTGCCAGCAAGATTTCTGTGCATCAGTTCTTCCCTGATCCAGCCTTTCCTCCACAGTTTTGTCTCCCTTGAAGCATCTAATATCTGTTATTTATACCAAACAGTTTCTGTCTTTAGCTCTTCAAAGAGGAGTAGCCACTGCCTCAGGCCCATCCAGTATTAGAGCAAAGCTAAGCTGAGCTTCTGCCTGAATGCTGGACTGAGGTGGGAACAGCTCCTTGATCTCTCACATTTGTTTCCCAGGCCTTACACTAATTAACATCTTGCTGTGGGGCAAGGTCCTTAAAAATTCTCCAGTGTTCTTAGCCTTGTCAGTGTGCTGAGGCTCGACCTGGGGCCATCCAAGGGCTGTAGAAAAACAATAACTCGCTTAAATCCACCTTTCAGGCATCGTTCTGCCAGTGCCCCAACAGCTCCTGAGGCTTCTCAGGAAAGGAAATGCCTTTACTAAGGCCTTGATTCCAGGGAAGCTCAGGCAGGAAAAATGATCCTGAGATGTAAATTTGGCCTCAAAGGACACTGCTATTCAAAATACTTTTCATTGGTTTTAATTTCCAGTTTCATCCATGGGGCACCGTGTGCGCTGGAATTGGAATTCCTGCAACCACCACCTTTCAGAAGAGCACAGTAACCCCATTAACATGACCTACAAAGAAGTCTTTGCTCAAACTTGTTGAGACAAGCTCAGTTTCATGGAAACTGCAAATGCTCAGTGATACTGGTGATTTTTTTTTTCCTGTGGGGCTTAGGGGAGGGCAGAGAAATACACACTTAATTTAAAGCTATCTGTTAAACAACTATGTCTGTACATACTCACTGGTTTACAAACTTGGGAAAAAGCTCAACCCTTCTACTTGCAACACTAAAAATAATACTAATTTAAAACTGCAGATGATTAATGATATCAGTGCTCACATAGGAGTTATATCCATAAGGAAACAGCCTGCAGCCTATCTAGCATAAACTCCTGTATTGTGGTAGTTGAGTTTTTAAAATTTTTTTGTAAACATAGCATTATTTTAATCAGTAAATCAAGTTAAACAATATTAACTACTGCTTTTAGGATGATAGGGGTTTCTTTAAAGGTGAAACTGTGACACTGTACTGGATTAAAGAGAACAGCAGGTTAATCTACACTGGCTTTCAAAAAAAAAAAAAGGAACTGCAACATATCTTTAATTTTGTTATTTCTATCTGATTCCTTTGGATGGTTGTGTGTTTTCCTTTGGCAACGTTTGTCACTGTGCCATTTATTTTTTCTTATTCTTGGAGTACCAAAGATCCTGAAATGGCTTGATGATTGCAACCATGTGAAAATTTATTTTCTGGAAGTATGTTTTGTTAAACTTTTGTTAAAACGCTCAATTGTGTATGCAAATTGTTATCAGAGGTTTGCTGGGATGTTTACCTATTCCAGCAGGGAAAACTTGAGTGCATCGATGGAAGTGGAGAGCCTGAATCCAAATTCTGGATTGGAATTCCCTGGAAGTTGGGGAGGAGGCTTGGATTGGGAACTGCAGCTGAGCTTTTGCACTTCGTTCCATCTCAAATCAGTGTGAGTGAGTGGCCTTAGGTACAGGACATCAGCAGAGGTTGTCTCATGTGCAAAAGGAGTTAAAAAAAATTGCCAGCATTCAGAAATCAAATCTTGTTGATACTGCATTTGCACTGTTCAATTTGCCTTGCTGGAGAGTTATAGAAGTGTTATTTTTATAGGTCAATTGTTCCCCACCTGAGCCGTTGGAGACAGTCTGGGATAAGGGCACCTGCTGGGGGCAGTTCAGCCAGGGGGCACCACGAGTGGGCACCAGAACAGCACACGGCTGCTGTCAGCTCCTTCCCCAGGGCTGACATTCCTCCTGTGCCCAGCAAGCAGGGAATGCTGCAGTCTAGCCCAGGTAGTGCTTAGGAAGTGCTCTCACTTTCTCAATAACACAAGCAATTACAGGCGTTGTAACACACTGAACCTTATCCTTTACTGTTGGGATCTCACAGCAGCTCGTTCTTGGAGTCAAAATGCAACTGCTATATTTTTCCTAGACTGTTTCATTAGTTGTGGTTGGGAAAGTTACATAGAAGCATTATAAAAATTTATATGAGGCTTTTTACAGCATTTGAAAATAAAAGTAGCATTCTTTTTGTAAAGTTGCAGTTTTCGTTTCTTTCACCCCGGTGTGTACTGGATTTCTTTTCCAGAATGGGAGACATCTAAGGAATTGAGATCCTGTTTTGTGGATTCTCATCTTGAATTCCATGGACAACAAAACACCCCAGTGTTGTTACACTCAATCAGAAAGTAGAGAAAGCAAATAATGTTTGACTTGTCCCACCTGCAGTCACGTGAAGAAGCTACTTCTCAAATGGTTACTGATCTTCTCCAGTCTTACCTTCCCCATAGGCTGTAATTTATCCAGGAAAGGCTTCCAGGGGCAGTTGTGTCCTTTGATCCACTATAGAAGCCTTTCTGTCCTAATGTTCCACTTTCCCTGCCAAGTTCAGAGCAGCAGAAGCACTGAAAGTTGTGTAAAAAGATGATCAGAGTGGAGCAGCTGAAAGCCAAGAGAAGTGAGCAGACACTGCCTGGCCTTGTCTGAAGCCCTCCTGAGAAGAACAGGAGGCCTCCCTCCCTCACTCCAGAATTGCTGCTCTCAATGAAGGTAAAATGCAAGAGAATTTTGTAAATTCTATTTAATAGGATCACCCTTTCCTTCCCTTGTGTGTGCATGATTGTATGGCAGAGCTATATATCATAAGGAAATATAGGTTTAGTTCTTTACCTCCTTGCATTACCAAATCAGATATTCCTCAAAAAAAGTGCTTGAAGGCTATGCTTTCAGCATGGGTAAATCTCTTTTTAAATCTTAGAGTTTATAAGACATACTGCAAATATCTACATTTTTCATTTCTTTGTTGTACATGGTACCTAAGCAAAACAATAATGCTTTGGACAATAAAAGGCTTTTTCTGACATTCCTAAGGAGGGAGAAGGGAGGAGTATCCAAAACTGTCTGTCTTGGCAGTGGGGACAGTGGTGGCTCCCAGCTCTGGACTAGGCAAGGGTATATTTGCAGTTCAGGAAGTGCTTAATGTATTTGGAAATGTAGAAGGTTGTCAGGCATTGGAAGGGGCTGCCCAGGGAGGTTTGGAGTCCCCATCCCTGGGGGTTTTTAAGGAAGGACTGGATGTGGCACTCAGTGCTCTGGTCTGGGTGACAAGGTGGGGATTGGTTACAAGTGGACCCAACAATCTTGGAGGCCCTTTCCAACCTTCATGGTTCTGTGATTCCATTTCTCTAAGGTAATGTGATTTATCACACATATAAATTTTAAATATTGGAGAGGTACTAAAATGCCTGTCCCACAGCTGAATTTCCCAGGTGAAAGCAGGTTCTAAGGATGGGTGCAGGCCCTGTTCCTTGTGAGCCATGCTGGGTTCAGCCATGCCAGGCTCTGCAGCGTGGAATGCCTGCTCCTAAAATCCACCAGCTTCCAGGTGCTTTAATATTAGGACAGCTGAAGGGCAAATTGGTGTGTCTGTCACACACTGAACTGGCACCAGGGTTTGGACACTTCATCACTCAGGAACACTGCTGCAGTGGGTGTGACAGGAAATTAATCTCTCCAACGCAGAGGGAGCTCATCCCTGCTGCCTCCTGCTCCTCCCAGTGCCACTCCTCAGGTTATCTGAGCCCTTGGAGGTCCCTGTTCCTGGGGTAGGTGGGGCACACAGACTTCAACCTCCTTGTGCTGAGGAGGGAATGAGCACTGGGTTCTCCTTTCCCAACCAAGCCAAGCTCTGCTAGGAACAGTTTGTTTCGGATCTGAACCGGCCCTCGGTGCTGAATCTTGTTTCTGTAGCAGCTGCTTTAATCTGTTTCTAGTGAGGCACCATCTGCTGCAGCTTCTCCTCCTCCAGGAATACGTGCTGGCTCTCCGTGCTGTCCCCAGGCAGTTCACTTCCACTGGCAGCATCTCCTTCCCCTCCTGGTGCCTCTGCCCATCCTCCCCGCTCCAAAGACAAAACCTTTGCCCTTGCTTCTACATTTCCTGCCATTGGAATTGAAGGATGAGGGACACTCGTCAGCAGAGTGAGTGCTGAGCCCTTGGAGCTGTTGTGCAAAAGTGTAACCACAACCCCTGCTCCACACCTTGCAAGGGAGACTGCAGCTACAGAGTGAGTGTTACAGACACGTGGAGGTAACACCATCCCTCCCTCCTTCCAAAGCTGTGTGCAGGATCTGCCCCCAGTGTGGGGCCAGGAGGTGGAGGTGATGGAGCTCCAACAGGAGGCAGATGCCAAGATATTCCCCCCAGCCTCGTTTGGGCATGTGCAGCCATGCACAAAACCAACTGGAAATGGGAGCAGTGATTTACTGGGAGTGCAAAACTGCAACAGTTTTGGACACTTCACTTCCCCAGTTCTACTTCTGACTTCACTGTCTCTATTTAATACCAGGGGATGATCAGATAAGAACTTCAGTGACTTTTTTGATCAGGACAGGGTGAAATCACTGGCAATCTAGACCCACACATCAGGATCTTCAGCTTTCTTTGAGGTCTCATCCAACTCCCATTGACGTCAGCAGAAGATCCCTATCTAAAGCCCAAAGAAATCAGGAACAAGGATGGCCTTCAAAGCAAACTGGTTGCTGATGCCATGCTTTGGTGTTCCTTACAAATGAGACAAAAAGGTTTCGCTATTTATACAACTCAGGTGGTTGAAAGGCAGTGTGTGGAGAGGAGGCCTTTTGGCTTCAAACACAGTGGTGAGAAACTTGCATGGCACTTCTGCTGTTAAACAGGACAATGTTACCTGTTTTCTAATAACCAAAATCAAACTAATGCCTTAAGGAAGCTTTGAAAAACATACAATTTATTTAAATGCCACTTTTAGGTTCTCATTAGACATTCAGAAACTACCAGTTTCTGCCAGGAACAAAAAGGCTATTTCAAAACTGATTATTTTATTTTTAAATCAGAAGTGGCACTGTCAAATTGAAAGACTTTGGGGTAAGAGATTTAC